GTGTGCGGACTGCTGACGCTTTTGCGGTCGCCTCTGATAAAAAGTGTTGAGGAGTGGGATTTTTGTCCCCGCTGCCTTTACTTTCTGCTTTAGCACGAGTCCCGGTCTTGGGGCGGCAGCCTGCAGTTGTGCCCGAGTGCTCCTTAAGACGTGCGCTGTTCTAAAGCACACTTCCTGCTCACTTCTCAGAAAAATACCTCCAGTTGTGTCGAACGAGGGTGGCTGTAAGCAAAGCGTGGGCCTCGTGTTGGCCACTCGTACCAGTGTGGGTCAGCGTGAGTAAGATAATGGCACACAGTGGTTTAGCCCCAGCCACCCGCTCCTCACTCCCTCGCCAGTGGGACTGGGAAGGGGAAGGGTAAAAAGGTAGAAAACTCGGCGGCTGAGATAAAGAGAGTTTCATGGGTAAATCAGAAGCTGTGCAGACAAGCGGAGCAAACCAAGGAGTTAACTCGCTACTTCCCACGGGCAGGCAGGAGCTCGGCCATCTCCGAAGGGCCCCGTGGCAGGTAATGGTCACTTGGGAAGACAAGTGCCATCACTCCAAACATCCTCTTCTCCCCACGTTCTGTATGGAGCATGATGTCATTTGGTCTGGAATAGCCCTTCAGTGCTTTTGGGTCACCTGGCCCAGCTGTGTCTCCTCCCTGCTGTGTTCAGCAGAAATCCAAAACACAGCCCTGCATTAGCCACTGTGAGGAAAATCGACTTCACCCCAGACAAAACCAGCACGGCATACCATGGTAATACATGTTTTCTGTAGACACACTATGGTTTGCTGGAAAACCTCACATCTATGTGCCTATTCAAAGTTAGAGTGATACACGCTTTTAAGGTGGGGGAATTACTGTCCAGCTGAAGCTGAAATTGTCAGGAGAGTAACTTTCTCAGCTTATTCTTATACAGGCAAAATATTGGTAGCCTCTGGGAAGGTGAATTCAAGAAAAGCATATATTAAAATGTGATAGTGAAAAGAACCTGCTTATTGCTTGAACATGACTGAACTGTAGATAATATTGGAAGTTCTGAAAACATTTTGCTGACATGACATATCTATAAAGCTGCCCGACTTGGGATGTGTATAACTTTGCCTATAGCGTTTATGCTTTGTTATTTAAACAGATACACTATTTCAAGTATTTGAAAGTAATTCCCAGCATCTACTGCTCTTCTAGGTTGATCAACTCCAAAATGTTATCTCAAAATCTGCGCCAAGTTCGCAAATGTTTGTTTCTGCATAACTTGAAACCGAATTCAGTAAATGTGGCTGTTTTGGCCAGACGGATCCATTTTTCATCAGAAAAGCTTCATGACTGTGAGTCAAAGGAAGAAACTGTCCAGAAATGTGAAACTGAAGAGTTGCCTCAAAGTCCAGAAAACAGTAATTTTGGAAGATTGCACATACCAGTGATGCTGGAGGAGGTTGTTAATTGTTTAGCCCCTCAGCCAGGTCAGGTGAGTTAAATGATTAATTAACATTTGTCATCCATTACCAGTCCAGCAGAAAAATTCGTGGAGTGTAAGGATTACTTTTGGTCAGAGGAATAAAAGGATGCTCTTAAACTATCAGTTACAGCTTTTAAACATTCTAAATTGTTATGAAGTTCAAATTAAGACTCTGTATTAATTACCTAATAAAATTCTGGTGTCTGTATGCCTGAATCCCCAGTAGGTGGTATTTATTAAAACTCTCATATTTGACTATTCTGTTGCTTTTGTGCTTGTCTTTTTGAATTGCACTTGTGTATTCTTAAGGTTATGTTAATTTCTCATAGTAGTGGGGAGTTCTTATGAATGGTTATCTCATCAGTTTCTTAAAAACCTTCTTCCTCTTGTATAAGAGGTTGTAAGTATGTAGGTTTTAAAAATTGTTTAGCCTCATTAGCATGGAACTATTTCAAACCTTCTTATTTGGGTATGGTACTGTAAGTAGTTTTGCTTTTGGTGTCTGGGGAAGTTCAGGACTCTGCACTGCTGTATTGATCTCACTACATTGCATGTGGACTACCAAGTATATGGTTACACATGTCCTTGAAAAACATGAAAACAGTGAAATGTTTTTTGGCTGGGTGGTCTTAACTTGAAAGGATTTTTAAAATAATGTAAACTCTTCAATCATGTTTGCATTTCAGATACTTTCACCTGTGATTTTAGTGCTTATGTTAGCTCTCTAGAACCTCACTAATTTAGGCTTATCAATGTGTGGTTTTACTACAAAGACTGAAACAATAGGTAAAGAAGTAGAAAGGTGTGTGTATGTTTTTATTTATATTTGAGAACAGTATGATCCAACAGTGGCAAAGTGATACAGCAAGTTTGAGGTGGATTCAGTGATTAAAACTTTGCAGTCAAAACTTGTTGTGTTGCCCTGTGTATCACTTTAAATCTTTGAAGAAGCAGTGAAAATGCAAATAGTGTTGATACATATTAACATACACATTGGTCTTGCATGTGTTTTACTGTTGAAGATATCTAAGTTAGAGAAATACATGAGGAACTTTGAGTTTAGATTTTATTCTGATGTCAGAACTATGATGACATTTATGTTAAATATTTTTTCCAGTTGTTTAAGTTTTTACTTAGATAAGAAGAGCCTGATAAAGTCAGCATTCATTAAACTCTTTGTTGATGTAGAAAACCTTACTTGGCAACAGAACCTGTAAAAGAAACTATTCAAGGTTATGAACTGTGGAGAGCAACTATTACTGCCCTGAAGACTTTCTAATTTAAATATTTATTGATGTAAAATAGCTTATTATTGGGGTGGGATTTTTTCAGGTCTGTGTATACATAATTTTTCAAATTCCTAAGCTAGTAGTGAACCGCTAATGACTGCTATAAGAGAGCCCAAGTGTGTTTACCTCAAACAGAAGCATTTATAATACTGCTAACCTGTTCAGCATGATTGAAACTGGAAACTGTTCAGCACTTCCATTTTTCTTTTCCTGTATGTATTTGCAGCACTTTCTGAAGCCTTGAAAAATAAGTAGTGTGCAAAAGGATGCAATGTGTCAACTGAGTTTTGCTAGTGTAAATGAAATTTTGAACATGGGTCGAGAGTGGTGGTAATCAGTTTGTATGAACATGGATGTCAACCGGGAATGTCATATAAATTTACATTTTTAAGATTATAGTCATGACAGGAAGTCTATAAACACTTTGTGGGCAGGGGAGGTAGTGCTCTGATCTTGAATTTAGTTTCTCTGCTTTATTCTCTCCTACGCGCACAGAGATTTCCTGTACTCGGCTTTAATAGAGTTATATTCTTTGTTATAAAATAGCTGATTTGGGCCTCTATTTCTTCCTGTGTCCTAAGACAAGGAGTTAGCAATATAAAGAAAATCTAATTAGAAAGATGATGTTCTCCCTATCGTTATGGTCACTTGAAGGGGATTTTCATTTTACTTATAGAGGTTCTTACGAAAATAAGTGTTACTTAAGAGTGAGTCACCGCTGAGATAAAGATGTTAGTGCCCTCCCACTGAATATTCTTGTTGATTGTTTCCTTTGGGGAATCTGTTTTTCAGGAGTTTGAGCAATAATACTTCCATTTATCTTTGAATCTTCTTTTATTGCCTTGTTTCACAAAATTCCCTGTAGTAGTCCTGTCTTTGAAGCAAAGACTACAACCAAGCTACCTGACTTCTCAATGAAAAGTCTGTTAAAATAAGTCCACACATAATTTCCTCTTTAGGATTACTGTATTGATTACATTTTAATCTTCTCAGTCCAGGAGTGTTGTTTGCAAATACCTGACCAATGTTTTTACAGTTGTCTGGACAATTCTCTGCTCTTTTAAAGAACCAGACATATTTTGAATAACTGTTTGGACATCCAGAAGCAGGTTTCCCCAGTTTTCAGCCTACTTTTTCCTATTTTTTTCCTTTGTAATTATCAGTTGTCTTTTAACTGGAGATGTGGATCTTTTCCACATACTGTGGCTATAATGTTAACTAAAAGAATTACAATAGCAGTGAGTTCTAGTATGAATGCCAGAGGATGAAATTTTAACTCTGAAATTTTAACTGCTCTTATGAGAATCTTTTAAGTTTTTCATTTGCAAAGCTCTAGGAAATGATAGTGCTCCAGCACCAACAAATACTTCTATTTATAATATTTAAACTCCAACTAGAAGAAAAGAAAATATTATGCCATAGTCAGATTATATGGGGAAACCTGTAATGTGATGATATCTATGGTTTTATATGACTGATTTTACCTATGGTTGAGTAGGATCTAGAAGAGACCATAATAAAGATACTAGAAGCTGTACTAGTATTATTTGGTTTACGATAGTTCTAGAAGCCTTTTTTTTTAGTATCTGGAAATTAAATGGTAGGTGGTCAAACTTGAGGTGAGAAATAAAGAGTGAGGCCTTTCCATTTTCTCCAGTGTTTAAGTGGTTTATCAGAAACAGTTAATAGTAGATGATTTTTTTATGTCATTATGTTAATTTGTATAGAAAGAAAGAAGGCAGTTATTTTCCCCAAAGAGATCTCATCTGTCCTCATCTTGAGTTAGCCGGGGCTTAGTGTGGGTATTTCCCTTTTGATTTTCCATAATGTTGTTCAGATTTTTTTACTACTTGGCATTCATTGAAGGAAGTATCCTTTTTGTCTTGGAAGTCACGTGTTATACTTAGTTTCTAGACAGAGAAAAGTAATTCCTGAAAACATGCAGCTTTGCCATGACCTTTCCTTTCGCTCTTTCAGGTACATACTGCTTGTTTTCAGGATAGTTACTATTTTCATGCATTCAAACATCAAATGATTCTTTTTCAGGAGGAGTGTGAGCATGGACTTCTGAAATAACAGGAAGGAAGTATAAGACATTGCTGACACTCAGACATTGTTTTGTTGTGAGTGAAGTGTTACTTGAGCTCTGGGGTTCAAATTTGAAGACAGTAGCTTTTCAACTCCTGGAGGTTCTGTTGCTACTGTTGGATGTTGATCTGGAGCATGGTTGTTTCCTTTTCTACAGAGCTCGTTAGTTGAGTGATAGATGACACTGGAAGGAAGCTGAGGTAGATTTCTGGCATGAGAAAGCAGAGTCAGTTCTGCAATGGTTGTCTTCGTTTCTGTGTATTCTTGTCCATACATCAGTATTATCTTTCTGCCTTGTACTGACTATAAATGCTTTAAGGCAAAAATAACCTTTTTCTGTACAGCACCCTGCAGAGGGGACTTCTGTTTTGTGACAAAGGTTGCCAAGTATTGTTGTATAGAAATAGTTACATGACTGTGCTGGTGACCAGGGTTCTTACCATAGTACCTCCAAACTCATCTGCAAATCATTTATAACTGGAATGACTCGTTCATACTAGAGGTTCTCCAAACTGAAGTTTTCTGCCAGGTGGCCAAAATAAAGAGGAATTGAAAATTAATTCTGGCTTTTCAAATTGTATGAGTTCAAGTTTGGAAGGGAATATTACTTGCATCATGAGATAAATGATGAAATAATTGTTCTGGAAAAGCACTACACACACATGGACATAGTAATAAGTTTTTATTGTTTTAGCCTGTTTTTCACTGGATTTGCAAAATGAATAGGGTGATGTAAAGCAATTGATTTGCATAATGTTCTTTATTGTAGAAACAACTATTTTTTTGTGGGAAGCATTCTGAAAATATCCATATGCATATTTTATGGCTAATTTTTCTCTGTCAGCAGCACAATGAGATTTGTAGTGATTGTTGTAAAAAAAGAAGATACAGAAACTTGCAAGAGTCAATAAATTAAAGTAGAGTCATTCTGAAAATACTCCAGGAATTACAGAACACACTTTTATTCCCATGGTACTTGAGTGTTCTGGGGCATATTGAGAGTTGTTTCAGTTGACCATGTAGTTCCTGTGTATTTTTTCTGTCACTCTGATCTTGCCTGATGTCCTGGCTGCACATATTGTAAATATCAGGAAGAGGCTAACCAGGCTTCAGATCACAGCTGTGTGTGGAAGTTTGTAATGAAATGTGCATTGAATGTGTGTATACATGAAGTATATTTATTTTTGGATGTATCTACTAGGAAACTAGTTAAATGGATTCTCATCAGATTACACTGTTTAAAATACTTGGCTAAAATCATACTTTAAAAGGGATGTTTTTAGTGAAGTGAGCCTTTGAAGTTAGTGCATGAAAATGGAAAACACTTTTAAAACAATTGTTATAAATGAAATTAGAATTTCAGAAAACTAGGTCCCTTGAGTTAATAAAAGTTTAATTAAAAATGAATACCATTTAGTAAATTCTGTAATAATTTGGTATAAAATTAGTGAATTACTAATTTAGTATTTTATTAGTAATTTATTCAATTTAGTGAATTGAATAGTAATTTGGTATAAAAGAATACAATTTAGTAAAATAATACAATTTAGCAAAAAAATACAATTTATATATATAATTTGCCAGTAATTAAGTATTATTAAAGCATAAGCAAAACTGATCAGGGTATGGAGG